CGGTGCCCTGCGCCCCGCCGTCAGCCAGCCCTCCGTCAGCCCCGCCGAGCCGCCCCGCGAGGACGACGAGGACGTGGACCAGCTTTTCGGGGCGTATGGCACGACGCCCGCCGAGCAGCCGGCCAAGTCCCAAGCGCCTGAGGAGGTGGTGGACCCCGAGGGCTACGAGTCCGACGACTGCAGTGAGTTCCTAAGTTTCTGCGGGAGTTTGGCAGGTGCTGGGGGCAAGGGTGGGGTCTTGGGACTGGTCTTACTGCCCAAGCCGTGTGCCCTTCCCAGGTGCTGACCACACTGTCCATGCCTGGGATTACATTGCAGCAGTGACAAACCCTTTTGGTCTAGTCAGGCAGGCTGTCACAGCACGGCTTCAGCACTGCCCCTGGGTAGAAGGAGGCCCGGGGAGTGTCCCTGCTGCAGCCAGGCTGGATGCTGAACCCAAACTAGAGAAGTCTCCCAAGAGCCACCAGTTGCTGGGCTTTGCTGTTGTGGTTGATGCACTTCTCTGCCTTGTCCCTGCTCAGCTCTGTGCCTCCAAAGGCTGCACGCCAGGCTCAGACCCCTCGTTAATCCGTCTCGGTGGTGCAGGCTGCTCCAGCCACCCTGCTGATCAGCTCCAGCATCGCCCAGCTCCAGATCGGGGAGATCTGTTTGGAATGACATCCACGGGGGAAATCTCTGCCCTCTCCCTTGCCCAACTTTGGTGTGTCATTCCTCACTCTCTGGCTGCAGACAGACCCCTGCATGAGACCAGAGGGGCTTTTGAACAGAAGGCTTTGGTTCTGGCAGATGCAGGTGTTTGCAGCCAGGTTTAACCCCTCCCCACCCAAAACGTCCTTCCTACCCAGCACAGTGAGCAAAGCAGCTGCTGTCTGGCTGTGGCAGTGGTGGTGGCTGGGGGAGTGTTGCTTTCCTTGAGGTGGGTTAAAACACAGGATCTCGATTCACCCCGGGCTTTAGGGACCAGATCCTGCAAAGGGCTGAGCACAAAGTTGAAAACTGGGAGATGCTGAGAAAGGGGGAATCGGTGCTGCTGAGCGGGGCTGTGGGCTCGTTCTGGGGAAGGGGGAGGCTGAGGTGTTTATAGCCCAGGGGCTCGACAGACGGTGTCTTTCCCTCTGTAAAATGTCACAGCCCTGTCTCAGCATCACTTCGTTGCTGCTGGGTGCTGGGCTGGCCTGGGCTGCTGCCTTCTGTGCCAGACCCTGGAGTGTGAGCCCAGGGAGAGCTCCCCAAAGGGCTCTGCTTGCTGCAAGATGGCAAGGCCACCCCCATGCCCCCCTCTGCCTGCTGACCTCTAGCTCCAGGTGAGGCTGAGGCTCTGGGTGCAAGCCCCAAACTGAAGCTTCCTCTCTCCATACCCCAGTCCTGGGGTCACACTCTCTTCAGAGGAGGCAGCAGCCACTGCACTCCCGGGAGAACGTCTCTGCTAAGCCGCGTTAGTCCCAGCCAAGCAGTTACAGTGACTTTAACCGGATTTGGGTTATTTGCTGCTCTAATTATTAGGTCGTCTTTGCTTATCCCAGCAGTAGAAACGGGAGTGACTGGGCTTCAGGGGCAGAGGTGTCTGTGTGAGCTAAGGTGCTTGGGGCCCTGGGATGCAGCGCTTTGACCAGGTGACTCATGGGGAAATTGCCCAGGGTGCTGCCTTCTGTGTTTAGCCCTGCTGGCAATGCTGGAAGCAGCTCAGCTCAGTGCTGGGGGTCAGTGGGTGTTAATCTTGTCCTGGCTGGTGTTACGAAAACTGCTTCTTGCAGTGTTAACAGGTGTCAGGCAAACTGCTGAGGCTACGGTGGGTTTTTCACTGGCAAAGGTACAGGGGTGCTAGGAACAGAGCAGGGAGGTGGGACAGTTAGTGTCACATCTCTGGGAACAGCACTGGATGGCCCCAGCCACTCTCAGGGCACTGCTTGGCATAAATGTGCAGGATGATACTGTCACTCCTCCATGTTTAGCAGCCAAGTCACAAAGCTAGACAAGGGCTCACTGGCCCCATTTCCCAGGCGGGAGCTGGGAGGGGACTCGTGTAGCCTGACTGGAGCCATCGGCTGCACTGGGGAGTGTCTTTCAGCTCCCTGTGTTCCCGACGGGTGATTCAGGGCTGCTGCATTCGTCACCTGCACTAAATTTGCCCTGGGGAACCTGTCTCTGCCTGTACAGCAGGATAGCGTCAGGGGTTTGGTGGTGTCAGGTCCCTCTGGAGATACAGGGTTCAGGGAGCTGATCGAGGTCTCTGGGGACAGTGGTGTTGGAGCCTGGGTGCAGGCTTGCTGGACAGAGGCACATCTTGCCTTGCTCCCCAGAGGTGTTACCAGCACAGCCCATGGAGAGGTGCAGGGAGAGGGATTTTGCCATGGGAGAAGGAGAGGACGGCTCCTTTGTGTTTGTCCCACCTGCCTGCAGGTTTCCCTCCTCCAGCACCAAAGCCATGGTGCTGGCTTGGTGGGTGGGAGGAGTAGAGCTGCCCCTGCCTGGAGGAATGCAGCAGTGTTTGTCTGGGTTTACCCTTGTTGTGGTTTTTGCCCAGGGTTGCTTGTCCAGCCTGGTGTTTCTGAGTTTCCAGCAGCATTAGGCTGATGGGTGGTGGGGCTGTGTTCCTCGGTCATCGCAGCACTGCAGAGTGGCACTGGGCAGGGACTGGAGCTGCCAGCCTCCAGATGGGATCTTTCTAGGATTTCTGGGAACCTAGCTGAGGTATGGTGGGGTGGGAGGGGACCCACTAGTCTGGGTGTTCACCACAGGCCAGTGGCACCGGTCACTGGGTGGCTGATGCAGTGGCTGGAGTTGATGGCTCTAGGGCCAGTGGGGCTGAGACCAGGGCTTGGGGCACCACAATGCAGAGCTGGGGAGCACAGTGCTCAGTGAAGCTGTGGAGGTGCCAAGGAAAACAAGTGTGGTCCCCATGGGGCAGCCACAAGCAGCCTGTTGAATGCAGCAGGGAGCAGGCAGGGCTGGGGAGCTGATGGAGCAGATAATGAGCAGAGACATTGGGGCTTGGCCTTTGGAGTACTGGGAATTGCATGGAGCCAGCCTTTCCCACAGACCTGCCAGCAGCGGTGCTCTGAGGATTCGCAGGGTCATGGTCAGCACCCTCTGCCATACCAGGGCCTTTGGGAGACCCTAGAATAGTGATTCATCACTGCCCTTTACCTCTCCTGTTCCACCTTTGCAGGGACTGGAGCCCAAGCTGTGCAGAGCTGGGCTTTTCCCACAGCAGGTTTGTCCCCAACGGAGCTGCTGAGGAGGAGGGAGTGAGGCAGAAGAGGTGGAGAAATACCAGTTTGGTGCTAACCCTGCAGAAGGGTGGTTTGGTGCTGTTGGACCAGCACTGGTGTTGGTTGTGAGCTGAGAGGACCAGCAGGGATTTGGGGATGGGAAGATTGGAGGGGATTCACTCCTACTGCCTCAGGACACCCTGCCTCTCCCCTCATCCTTGGCTCCCCTGGCTGGTGCTTGATGACAGCAGCAGTGCCTTGTCTCCTGGGGTTCCCAGCCACCAGGGATGCACACTGCCAAGAGAACTTGGTTCCCAAGAAAAATAAGCAACTGCCAGCTAGGTGGCAATGTGCCACCTGCAAGGAGCTGGGTCTCGCCTCCCATCTCCCCTGATTCCCGCAGATCCCTGCCCCTCCAGCAGCTGAGCGTTCCCCTCTGCAGCACCAGCGTGAATTTGTACCTGACAGATTTTTTTAAGGTCTCTGAAATCTCTGCATGAGCAGCACAGAAGCAGAAACATGCTGCCTCTGGGGGAGCACTGCTCTGGCTGCGTTCACAGGTGGGACAGTGCTGGAGGGAGCAACTTCCTTCTTCTGTAATGTGCGAGGAAGTTTCCAGCCCGTGAAGAAGGGCTGAATTCTCCTAAGTTTGCCTTTGGAGCGAGTCTGTGGCCAGTGCTGAATTTCCTCCCTCCTCTGTACGTGTTTGGCTCTGGGGTCAGATGGGTAGGCAGCCTGAGAGCAGTGAGGTTGCAGTAGGAGCTGATTTAATGAAATACCAGAGAATCACAGAATGTTTGGGGTTGGAAGGGACCTTAAAGATTATCTAGTTCCAACCATTCTGCCATGGACAGGTTTCTGGAAGAGCTGCCACGTACCTGTTCCTGCCAGTGCTCCAGGGCTGTTTGTGTATGTACAAACCCAGCCAATTTTAGAGTGTTCCCAACATTATTCCAGGGAGAAGCAGGCTCCCAAGCTGCAGCAACATAAAAACAGCTTCTCCAAACTACAGCTGAGAGGCCTGTCCTGGTGCAAGGCTGCTCGAGACGCCTGTGAAAGCAAAGCCACGGAAGTTATTTAGGAAGGCTCTAGAGCAAAGAAGATAATTAGGCAGGCCAACCCATCATGCAGATGTTAATTACTGGCTGCTTCAAGATGTAAAGAACAAAGGTCTTAAAGAGTGCAGGGTTTGCAAGTCACCTGACAATGGTTTTGGCCAGACAGGAGGAGGCAGGAGAGACAAGAGGAAATGTGTGTTCAAACGCTGAGGATGTTTATATCTGAAATGCAGCTCCTTAGCATATTCTGCCACTGCTATTTATAACCTTTGAATCGTCTTTTCAATCCAGAGAAGGCCAAAATAAGTTGTGGGGGTTTTTTTATTTTGCTTTGTTGTTTTTTTTTATTCAGGAAACTAAAACCACTGCTGATACCGGCAGAGCCTGGAGAATTGCTTTGCCAACCACACCATGACCCAAGCTGCCTATTCCAAAGAAATATGTCCAGGCACTGAGCAGTGCTGGTCCCGAGGTGTAAGGGCACTGGGGAGCTTGTAGCCCTCCCAAGGGAGATGTGGGATGTTGGATTAGCTCCTGTCTGGTTTCCTGTGGGATATCCAGCTATCAGGAAGGTGCTGGCATGGGGTGAGCTCTGGCCACCCCATCAGTGGTCCAGGTGGTGGCTGCACATTGGGTGCTCCTGGCTCTCTAAGGAGCCTTCTACCTGCAAAGATGCTCCTTCCCAGGGGGTGGCCATAGCCAAGGACACCCTGAAGTGCTGGAGATAAATGCAGGGCACCCAATGAGGCCAGCACACGAGGGCAAGCAGATCTGTCCAGGCATCCCTCCTCAATAGTGATGGAGGGAACATATGGGCTGTGGCCTCCAGCATCTCTGCTAATGAAGGAGCCATGCAGCTGCTGGTTAACAAGGGGCCCTCCTCCTGCCCAGCTCCCTCCCTTACCAGCAGCC